GGAGTGCCAGAGAACATCGTGGAGCATCCGCACAACATCGTGAAACGAACCACAAAAAGATGTGAAGCACCATACAACGTGGAGAAGTGCCACACAACATTGTGGGGTGACTACCTGACAATGAGCAACAACCGCACAACAGGGAGAAGCAACCATAAAACATTGTGTGAGTCCTACACAACAGGGTGGCGCATACACACATTGTCGAAAGCACACGACATTCTAGGGGCCATCAGATAACATTGTGGAGCAACCATGACAGCGTTGTAAAGCAACCGCACAACATTGCGGAATGACCAAATAACATTACGGCGTGCCAAACAACATTGGGGGGGGGTGACAAAACGTTGCGGCGCATCCGCACAACACCGTCGAGCGTGCAGACAACATTGTGGAGGGCCCACACAATGTTGTAGAACATTCAACACAACCCTGTGGAGCGACCACGCGACCCTGTGGAAAGACCACACAACATTGAGGAGTGACAAAACCTTGCGGAGGGACCACACAACATTGTAAGGGGAGTCACACAACACTGGGGAGCATCCACACAACACCGTCAAGTAACCACACAGCATTGTGGAGTGACAAAAACCTTTGAGAGGTATCACACAACTTGGTGGAGCATCCAAACAACGTGGCTGCGTGAAGCCGATCGTCATTCCTCTGAGAGACTTGCTTAGGAGGTGCTGCTGTTTTGATGAGCAAGGAGGCCCAACAGTTGACTCTTTCACATCCAAAAGACACACGCCACTTACGTACGACGTGTTATTTTTTTCATTTGGATGCTTATTGAAGGGAGGCAGGGCAAAGCGGAGCCGATTCCAGTCTTTGTCGGAATAACGGAATTCAATAGCAACACGGCTCAAGTGGACACATTCGGTGACACGAGTGCGCGCGTCGCAACGTGGCGGCGATCTGGCAACATGAGACGCCACGTTGCCATGGCAAGGCCCCGCTGAAAGGCACGGAACGCTCTCCCCGGGAAAGTCTGACCCAGAGGACCAGTTTGGCGGGAAGACTGCGCCTCGTGTGTGTGTGTGTGTGTGTGTGTGTGTGTGTGTGTGTGTGTGTGTGTTTATCATTTGTCATTCAAGTGTCACAAAATACAATTAGGTACGCCTACAACAGTACTTGGATCAAATATTCATCATTTTTGGACTAACCGTTGTTTATTATTGAGGTTGTGCATTGGAGCAGTTCACGGACGGCCCAGCATCACACGGGGAGATGTTCCTCATAATTCGGCTAGCTTATTGAACTCCCAAAATATTAGAAACAGCTCTGCGTGACGCGCCGTAGGTGTTCACTGAAAGCGCCATAATGATGAGCGGCGCCTTAAAAGGAAGATTTTGTTTTGTTTTGCTTTGTTTTTTCCCAAGCAGTTCTGCTACTGGATCTCAATGCTGGTTGGAAACGAGTTTTATTTTCTTCCTTCGTTTTGCTTATTCGGTCCCACAAGTCTATGCACGCCGCGGCCTTCTGCTTCCTTTTGGTCCCGCCGCCAGTGTTTGGTTAGCGATAACAGGTAGTGGGGGCAGCGGGGGCTCGATTATCAGCTAACCTTGAGTTCGTTAGCACCACCGCCGTGTGATAGGGGCGCCCGTGCGGCTCGCTCTGAGCTTTGCCGGAGTGTTTTATGGCAGCAAACACTTAGATGGGACAGAAATGTCATCAAAGTGATGTGTGCAAGGTTACAAAGATGAATGCAAGATAAAAAAACAAAAAAAAAAAAACCAAAAACGAAAGTTTGAAGTCAAAGTCACCCTCAATTTCATTCAAATTGTTCAGGGAGGTTTAAAAAAACGCTCATTCCTGTCGGTGCATCAATGAGGTATTGAGCCGTCAATACTTAGGGACAACGTAAGAAAAATTTTAAATCATCACATTGTCGTTATGGGAAGCTGTGTATTAGATTTTGAGGGGAAAATGTGATTCATTTCAGTTTGGAATGAGTAAAAAAATGCAATGGATGTGAATTCTGAGTTAGTTTTTTTTTTAAATATTTCGTTTGATGATCTTACACATTTTTTAAAATTATGTTGTCTTGATGTGAGGACAAATGAGATTGATTTCCTTTTAGAATAAAGCTGTAGCATACAAAATGGGGGGAATCATCTTTCAAAAATCGATGTGTATGAATTCTTTACCGATGCACGACAGGAACAAACCACCGAGTGTGAAGCGGAATAATTCAAGATTTGTCTCACTTCTCCTGAGCGTGTCTTCAAGTGGCGTCACGGTGTGCTGCGCCCCCTACTGGTGCGAGCGGGCACGCTCAGGTGGTGCAATCTGGCTGCAATAAGAGCCTGACCGGCCGGAATTGTGCAGAGTCACCGTGACGTGGCCAATGAGTCACGGGTGCGATCTGGGCCAGCTGGTGACTCACTCTCCCAATATGCTCGAGTGTGTGTGTGTGTGTGTGTGTGTGTGTGTGTGTGTGTGTGTGTGTGTGTGTGTGTGTGTGTGAGATCACTTTCACCCCATGACGAGGCCGGAAACGGGACCAACTGTAGGCCCGGGGTCAAAATCGGACCTACGCATCCTTTGATGTGGTCTACTTGAACACATGATGTGATGACATTGGATTGGATTTGATCCAACTTTATTGTCAAATGTGCTGTATGTGTAACAACATATGTACATCAGATGTCCATAAAGACAACATGAAACATACAACGTAACAAGTTTAGTACAAAAAGCAATTGAGGAGATATGCTGCTCGCCAGGTTTAGTTCCTCGTACTGTTTGGCGATCAAAAAAAAAAAAAAAAAAGTTTGTGTCACATTGCTTTTGTCTCGTTCCTTGGATGAAATACATTGTGTTTAATAAAATAAATCAACAAAAGCAGCGAAGAATCCAGTGCCGCTCAATTCATTTCATCTCGCCATTAAGTTAAGGGTACATCAATCCAAGCAGTTTCTGACAATATTTGTATTTGTTCCTCCCCTTTTTGATGGACCAAAAGTGAGGGGACAGGTGTTATGGCTGCCATTAATAGAGCGACCCCTCACATTTAGCCAGGATGCGAATGATGACAAAAGCAGCAGGACGAATTCTCAAGTGTTTGGGCCCAAATAATATTTGCTCATGTTCAGCCAAAAGCTTCGCAACTCATTCGATGGGCTTTGCAGTGCCGATGGACAATGACCCGGAGCATACTTACAAAAGCAACCGCAAGCAAAGTGGAATGTTATACAATGGCTAAGTTAATCGGGGAACACAAAACTAAAATTAAAAGTACTAAACTATGGCCAGCCGGACCCTTTTGATGTTTGATGCTTGTGAAAATGTCATGGCGGAACTTTGGAAAATCGACCATTCCAAGCAGTTTGTGATTGATCAGTGTGTTCTCATGTAAAAAGAGTGTCAAAAAAGAGAGAAAAGATGACTGAATATTAACATTTAGAAGTAGAAGCAATGACATACTGTACATACATACACATGCATGGCACGATACACGCACGCACACACTACTAACTACTACTACTACTACTAATCCTGATAAATAGCGATACACGCACGCACACACTACTAACTACTACTACTAATCCTGATAAATAGCACGCACAGAGCTTGCAAAGTTTATCAAATGTAAAATGAACATTAGTTGCCATCAAACGCACATTTTCACAGTTGCTGTTGGTATTTTATAGAAAAAAACATCTTTTCACAATTACTTTTCTCAATTTTAATTTTTTTTTTGTCCATGCAAGGAAAAAAACAAAACTTGAGATGCCAGGGGAGATTGTGTCAATTTGACGCAATGAGGCGGTTATACTTGTACATAATCTGAAGCGGCTCCTTGTGAGAGCATCAAAACATCCATTAGAGATGATTGGATGCTATTTTAAAGGAAAGAGGAGCGGGCTTAAGATGATGACTCAGCGCGCGCACGTGTGTGTGTGTGTGTGTGTGTGTGTGTGTGTGTGTGTGTGTGTGTTACCTGAGACCGACGAGGTGAGTCGAGGCAGCACCAAAGCAGAGTTGAGTGACTCCACCTGTTGTCATTGTTGCGATCGTCCACAAAGTGGTGGACACGCCTCGGAGCGTTCTATGAAAAGGTCACAACATTAGGAACACGGAACATTCTAATGATGCAAGGGAGGGAAATCAAGTTCCTCTCATTTCACCTTTTTATAAAGTATCACAAAATGGACAACTGGTTCACTGCGTCAGGCACTTGAGGTTGGGGGGTGTGGGGGTGGAGGGTGGGGGTTGGGTCTTGATTCTGTGGAGGACTTCATTTTGATTGACCTTGGTGGGAAAATCAACAATCAATGAGTGAAGTTGTGTTTGTTTCAAATGTCCTTGGGGTCATGTGCAAGTCGCTCCATGTTTAATTATCAATCGGAATCTCCATAAAGACGTCAATATACACGACAATATTGTCAACACTGAGGACTTTTGCAATTTTTTTTTTTTTTTTAATATTGGAAAATTTATTCATTCGGGAGAAAAAAAGTCAGCCATTCTGTTTTATTAAGAGAACATTTTATGATTAAAAAGAAAATAACTGTTGTTTTAAAGCGGTTGTTGGATTTGCATTTTGGTTAAACTGTGGTTGTTTAAGTGCAGTTCAAATAAAGTCAACAAGAATCTAGATTTTTTTCACAATTCAACCGTTCATTAATTTTTTTTTTCATTGCAATTTTTTTGGGGGGATGAGAGGTAAAGTATCTCTCACTTAATGCTCTGAACGTCTGGCCACAAATTATACTGGATTTTTCCTATTCTTAGGTTAACCCGATATCCGAATGTTCTGAACTCCTCTTTCCCCAGCTGTACTACTTCAGCTGACCTCAAGTTGCAATTCTTCGGCCAGCAAACAAGCGGCGGGCTCCATTTTTGCCCCGATTATTTCCCGTTTCATCTCTCCTGGATCACGATTGCTCGATTATTTGTAGACCATCCTTGTCGTGCGCAATAAGTGCAAACACAATCATACAAATCGTGACAAGCCAACACCTCAAAAAAGTATGAAACGAGACGACAAGCAGTTGAAGAGCACTGTCAATATAATTATGATGATGGCGATGACACGCGTGACAGCATTGGAAGAAAAACAAAAAAATCAAAGTACATTTCTGTTGGTTGGTGTTCTTGCCAGGATATTCCGACATGCTTTAAAGAACATCTACAAAAATAAGACCTCGGCATCATTCCCGATAGGGCCGATGCAGAAAAATACAATCTGTATGTACGGATATTTAAAGAAGAATATGTACAACCAGACAGCAAGAGAGAGGAAGCAGGCTGGGCTGTAACCAAGGCGACGATAAACTCTAGCGGCCCAGCCAGGAAACAACGTCCAATAAAGACTCGGTCTTTGAAATCAGTCAGCTAAACCTGCACAGCATAAAGGAGGCACAAATAAAAGCATGACATTTTACTTTTTCATAAAAAAAAAAAACAAAAAAAAAAACAATGCAACAGAGTATTCAATCCAGCACATAATTTTTTTTTTTTAAAGTATAGAATCATTGGACTATGAACTGAATAAAAGCTTCGCTAACTGTGAACTAGATCCTGAAAACTAGGAGCGCCATTGTGTGGCCAAAAAAAAAAAAAACAAAAAAAAACATCGGGAACATTTTTGAGCTTGCTCTCCTCATAGCCCCGCTATGACGTCACCAATTAAAACTACGCTCAAGAAAAAATAAACAGCAGCTCAACTCCTAAAACTGCTAACTCAGCTCCATTTCTACCAACGTATTCGCAGTAATTAGGTTCAGTCAACAATGAATTCCAGTCAAAAAAAAAAAGAACAATATTAGGCCTCAACGCCATGCGTCAAGGTTATCAGAGAAACCCCATCCGGTCGGGAGTGTGAGGTGGGGGAAGCGCATGAAGCACAGCCAGGCCAGACAAACTTCCTGGAAGCAGGAAGTGACTCCTCACCAAGGGAGTTGTGAAATTCCAGGATTTGTATTAAGTTGGACTTTCCTCGAATTTAAGGGGATTCAAAGAAATGACGCAGGAAATATTACAAATTTGTGGTTGGCTCTTCATTTGGAACGTAAAGCTTTTTTTTTGTTTTTCAGGGTTTTTTTTGTGATGCAAGCCAAACTAAGAGTTACTAACGCTGACAAAAAAAATAAAAATAAAAATTTAAGGTACTGCGATGCCCTCGCTTGTGAGCAAGGAGAGCTCAATTCCCCATCTTAAGTCCTTGTGGAAATTTACTGTGACTTTTCCACCTGCTGTCTAACTGACTAACTAACAAGCTTCATAAGTCACGGTCCAAAATGCGAACCGCTCAGTCAAACGGAAAAAAAACAAAAACTAATGCGCACAGCACCAAAGCAAATGAAAGGCCACCAGCATCTCAATTGTGATTGGCCGGCAGGGGCAGCAGGGGTGCTGAGCGATCATTGGTCAGGGTCCTTTTGAGTTTCACGCCCCTTATAAGGTTCAGCATGTCCCTGTCCCCCCTCTCTTGCATCAGGCTGTCTTGGTCCAGGATGGAGGGCGGAGGGGGCTGCCCATGAGTCGTGAAGCCCAGGATGGAGTCCTCTCGCTGGGCGTGGGGAGCCTGAAACTGGGCCCTCTGCTGGTGGAAGAGCTTCTGCTGCTGCTGCTGCTGGTTTTGGAACTGGGGATGGGCCTGGAGCTGGGTCTGCGTCAGCGGTTGGATCTGGTTCTGGATCTGAATCTGACTGTGAACCTGGGGCTGGTTCTGCTTCTGAAGCTGCCGCTCGTGGTGAAACTGCTGCATTTGCACCTGGTGGTTGAGTTGTTGTAGTTGCTGGTGCTTGGCAATGCCGCCCTCTGGTGGAACGGTGGGTACGGGCACCGGGATGGGCATCTGACCGGGCACCAGCTGGTAGTACGGCGAGTACGAGGAAGAGGAGGATGGCGGCAGGGCGCTGAGGCTCTGCGTGGAAGTAAAGAGTTTGTTGTAACCTAAGCCTCCTCCGGATGTCGCGATGAACACATTCTCGTCGCTCCCCGGGGTCGTCGGCCCCATGGGGACCTGCGGCGTGCAGATCGGGATGGGAACCCCCCCGCTGATGGTGCCCCGGCGGTACACCGGCTTGGTGGACGGCTTGCGCCGGATGGTGGCCGTGTGCGAGCCGCCCGTCAGCTCCGTCTCGGCCAGCAGGCTGACGGTGGAGGCGGGACGCTTGGACTGGGCGAACTTCCGGTACTGGAGGCCCAGGTCCGAGTTCCTCGGGATGGTGGAGGACTTGTCGAAGTCCGACTGGCTGACGCCGCCGTGTGACAGGTGGTGCAGGGAGATGGAGTCGCTATCCCCGTGGAGGGAAATCGACTCGTAGTCGACTGGAGAAGGAGAGCAAACAAATGCGAGTGACGTCGGTGCACTTTGGTTGCTAGATTTTGCAACTTTTCAAGACTATCCATAAAACACCCGGCAACAAATTGAGCTACCTTTGAAATTTGTTTGATAACATGTACACGCTTTCAAAACTTGACTCAACACATACTGTTGTTTTACCTGTAAACGTCAGAGAAAAAGAAAAAAAAAAGTCAATTAGCAGCTTTCCAAAACAAACAGAGCCACCCACCTTGAGCAAAAGGCAAAGAAAAAAAAAAAAAGGAATAAATCATTTACTGCGGCGCTCTGTCACGTGGGCAAGGAAAGCAACGGTGGCTGCTGCAAACAGTCAAACACGCAAAGGGAAAATGAGAACACTCGCAAGGAGCCGCCGTTGGCCGCAACTCTTAAAACAAATGCTCGCACATTCAGCCAAGCTGACCAACTCCTGACGTCATTCACTCGGCTCTGCCTCTTAATGGCTCACAGCTGACACACGAATTCGACAGCACGTACACTGAGCGCATTGTATGAAAATGTGTAATATATATATTTTTTTACATTTGCTTTAAAAAAAAAAAATCATTCAAATTTGCTGTGGTTTTTCAGTGCCTGAAATGGATTTGCGGCATTTCCATTCATTTCGACAGGCAAACGTGGTGTGAGATGCAAATCAATCGAGACACAAGCTTGAAATTCAGCTATTTGAACTGAAGGTGAGGAGAGAATGCGAGCAGGATGACGTGAAGGGAAAAGGAAAACAGAGAGGCAGCCAGAGACCTACCATAGAGGAGAGGCTCTCTCTTTACAGCTGGAAGACAAGGAAGTTTTGTTTTTTTAAGCAGGGAAACAACATAAAACCGAGATGACGGACAGACAGAAACGCTGAAGACCGGCGGAAAAGAGCGCACGTGCGCGCACACGCGCGCGGCCCTTACCGTGGGTGTGGATGGTGTCCTCGGAGCAGGACGGCGTGGTGGTCTGCGTGCTGTAGCCGCTGGAGCAGTGCAGCGAGTCGCGGCTGCTGCGCGACGCGTCCGCCGTCAGCGCGCCAAGAGTCAAGGCCAGCTGATCCCGGGCCGAACACGACTGACGGGCAACGAGAGACCAACATTAACATCCAGGTTATTATTATTATTATTATTATTAATTTTTTTTTTTTTTTTGGTGCTCTTATTCACACGTACGCCTGGCTAATCATTCGCAGGCTCGATAAGCAAATTTCTTTCGAGATGATGTCACACGGAATTGGGCATGGTTGCAAGTCGTGAGTCACATGACTCGACTTTAATGTCTCGCCTGTGCATTGAGATGAGGCACAGCTGCCGTGTGTGTGTGTGTGTGTGTGTGTGAACTACCTTTCCAGAAGCAGACATGGCACGGACCCTCTCGCCATGCTGCGGGTAGGCGCTGGGCGGGGGCGCCAGGAGGCCGTTCTCACCGCCCATGCTCGCAGAAGCCAGCTGATTGGTGGAGCCCATTGCATCCTGTCACACAAACGCACAAACTTTAGTTGAATGAGCCGCTGCCGAGGGCGACAAAGCGATGACGGAACACAACAAGTATGCAAAATGTGGCAAGGGAATTAAAGGCAAAATGATGGCAAAGTGGCGATGGTTTCCATGCGTCCCGATGTGGCAAATGCTGGCGTGGAATCCGGGTGGCTTTCAACTTCAATTTGAACATGAAAAATCCCAAAATGAAAAAGTCACAAATTTGGTCATCCGTTGTTGTTGTTTTTAATGTAATACAAATTCAGGAAATGCCATTTTTCAATGTTTGGCTCAGATAAAAAAATATTTCATGGAAAAACAGTCCATAGAAGTGAATTTAATTTTAATATTTCATCGATAGGGTTAACCTGTGTTTAAAAAAAAAAAAAAAAAACTCAATGAAAAATTGAATTGTTTTTGGGCACCGTAACACTTAGATTTGTACACCTTGTTGAAAGTCTTACAAGAACAAGTTATGAAGAACTGGCAGAAGAGAGGACCTTTTTACAATTTGATAATCGTTTAAGCTTATAACCCAGAGAAAATTTGCTCATTTTTTCCAACGTGTTTGAATGTCATCATCTTTGTCTTACGTTGTTAATATAAGAAAAAAAAAGTGATATGTAAAGAGCTGATAAAGGTCAATAAAATCCAGCGGCCCATTACTTCATCCACTAATAACATTTCCTGCTTAATAGTACATTGTTTAAATATAATATTTAAGCAATGGATATTTGAACACAAACGGTGAAGTAACATGTAGACAGACAAGATGACAATCCTCACAACTACATATTATTACTCCGATTGTAGCTTACCAAGTTGTGTCAGTTGTGAAACTCTTATTCGTCCGTTTGCATTCCATTGCCCCCCTTTTTGAGTTATGAGTTAGTCACTGAACAAATTCAACTTGTAATTCAAAGCAAAAATATTCATATCAATGTGGCTTGTTGATCCATTCCGTATTTTCACTTTGAACTGACACGTAAAAACCAATTTTCAATTTTTTTGTCTGACAGTACTAGACAATAATTAATTTTTTAAAAATCTGTCACTTTTTCATTTTCGAGTACCAACTGAAAATGAAAAGAACAAATGAATCACAGACGTCAACAACTATACACAGAAGGAGGGAGATGCGATGAGGCGGACAACTACCACAATGCACCAAACGACAAAAAAAAAAGGAGGAATTTAGTGCGGCTCACGGTGGTCATATCCCGGCGGCTGACCCGGCGGCCCGGCGCGAGGCGATGGCCGGGACCGGCTGCGTAACCGTAGCGACCGCGGCTGCCCTGTCGGCCACCCGGGCGAGAGGGGGCGCTCCCTTCGCTGAGGGAGCGGCCGCTTTCGTCGCAGCCGATCAGAAGGTACTGGGAGGAGCGCTGCTACACACATGGAGAAGCGGCGTGTCCTTTTTTGGGCAATTCACGGGCAGTTAGCCAAACGTCGGACTGTGTGCTATTGAACAAGCAGTGGATTGTCCTGAGTTCTCCACAATTGGAATTGAGGTGCACTTCAACTTAAATAGATATTAAAAAAAAAAAAAAAAAAAAACCCCAATGGTCCACATCAGCAATTTTTGCTGCATTTTCTTTTCTTGCCATGACTCACCAGGGTGCGCTCATTGAATATTTTCGCAACCTAATGAAGCCTTAGAAAAGGGACTTGAGCAGCAGAGCCCACAGTCGAAATTCTCATTCCCAAAACATCGTCCTCTTAAAACATCGCCTGCAGGACAGTGTCAGCCTGGCACATTATAACATAGATACACACAATAAAATGTTTTGACATGCAAATGACATTAGTCCCACGGTACATGTTCAAAAGAATAGAAAGTACTCCGGCTGCCCCTTTTTTTTTTAAATGCCTTTGTTCATTAACTTTTGGTCGTGTCGACTTCATTTGAGGAAATATGCATTCACAATACACCGAGTAGAGAGTCGATGCTCACCTGGATGTGCACGCCATCCACAGCACAGCTGATAGAGTCCAAGGAAGGGACGTGCCGCACTGACCCAGACTGGTAGCTTATGAAAAGGAAAGAGAAAAGAGTCGTGAGTGTTAAAAACTGAAATGTGCGTAAAAATGAAGTTCAGTTTGAGCGCATCTTACCTGCTGACGCTGCCTTTCCTGGACAGCGTGTTGCTGGGTGAGGCTGGCGGTGTCTGGTAGGTGTAACTGAAGTCAGAACCTTTTAGGTCCAAGATCACCTGCGGTGGGGAAAAAAAAAGAAAAACAATCTCAGATCAGAATCAGGTCTCTACCAAATGTGGAACCATCTCCGATCCTTATTGCACACACAAATGTATTTAAAAAAAAGCTGCTGTGAATCGATCACTAACAACAATTTAAACATTCCACCAGATGGCGCCAAAGTGATATGCTTATTATTGCTTTACCTTGAGCCCCAGAACTAGTTTGTAAGCAAATAACGGCGGGTAGGTTCCAAGGACCACAAATTGCAAAAATATAGCAATCAGCAAATGCCAAACCACGCATATGCGGGGGTCCACCATTCACTGGAATTGGTCATTGGGACCTGCAGTGTAAAAGCGTCCAGAGAAAAAAAAAAAGGAGCCAGCGGGAAGGTGGTCGTGGAAGCGTACCTGCTCGCTGGCTGGTGGCAGTTTGTTGGGCTCGGCTGTCATCGTGGTGAGATCCTCCAGGATGGTCTGCAGGTGCGTCACCTCACCCAGCATGTTGATCTCATGGTCCTAAGCAGTACATGGGGCACCATCAACACATGGACTGCTTCTATTAGCGGTGGCGCACAAACGCGCACGCACGCGCGCTCACACGCACGCGCGCTCACACGCACACGCGCACACACACACACACACACACACACACACACACACACACACACAGACTGACCAGCACCGGCTTCAGCATTGTGACAAAGGTGCAGTAGCGCGCTCTCTCCTCGATGAGTGCCCGGCACACGGCCCTCTTCTCCGTCTCCTCCAGGACGGCGTAGCGCACGTTGACGTCCTGCAGCGCGCTGTCCAGCTGGCCGCGCACTGCGTCCTTCCCTAACACACAAGACGCACAGGACGGAGCGGCGCGGCGTTAATGTCGCTAACTGTTTCGGGCAGATGTATGTGCTCACACAGGGAAAAATGACAAGACAGTTGCTGTCGGCAGGGGGCAGTAGTGACTACGATTTCACACAGAGCACATCAGCAAACGGACTGCCTCAAAGCTGTTTCTCACATATGCGTACTTGACTGACATTCTCCTTCAATATTCGTTGTGACGACTGCAGGGATGTCCGGTTTATGTGGTAATAGGTCACGATCCAATCAGAGCTTCGAAAGCACCCCAGTTAGAGAATCAGAGGGTGTAAAATAGGAGTCGGGGCGACTTTCGAGAGGACTTGAAGCAAAGTTGCTTCCTCTCATTTTATTATGTACGACGATACAACATTCGTCAGCCATTCCAACAAATTCATAACCAAATCGACCTCACGTAAACGTTCTCACACACACACACACACACACACACACACACACACACACACACACACACACACACACACACACACACACACACACACACACACACACACACACAGGCACATAAAAACAGCAGACAATTTTGTTCAACGGCGTCTACGGGTGGGAGCACCGTGGGGTCAGTGGGATCGCTTTCACAGAGCCAACAGAAGCTCAGTGTCGCAGCGCGGCTAACACGCACGCACGCACGCACGCACGCACGCACAACGTGCGGCTGTGACTCAACGACCGCAACACGACGATATGAACGAGAGGAAACATGACGACTTTGCTACAATCACACATAGTCAGTATAGAGCTTGAATAACAGTGTACATTTTCTGTCCACTCAAAATAACTCCACACGCAGTCAATCAATGTCTCAACTGCTAGCAACCAAAGTGAGCACACACCGAAGTGAAAATGTCCAAACTGTGCCCAAAGTGCCAATAGTTTGTGTGGCCATCATTAGTCTATATTCCGCAATATACAGCCATTTGAATTAGTGACGTACACATAGGTTTCCTTTCTCCATGGTTAAAACAAAAGCCCTTCAAGCGAATGTAAAGGGCCTCCGGCGCTTGTTGAGAGAAAGCAACAGTTGGCAAAAAAAGGGCGATGTTTGCTAGGGCTCGTGTGAAGCACTTTCTTTGCACGTAAAAACCAGTCTGTCTGCATTCCACACACACACACACACACACACACACACACACACACACACACACACACACACACACACACACACACACA